GTGCTTCTAGTATCTCTAAGGGAGCACCATTTCCCAAGAGCTGCAGGGCTGCAGTGTTTGCATAAAGTCCCAGGCCCATCCCTGACTCCAACAAGTGATACTGAAAAATTCTACTAGAGGGCTCAATGCTGGGGAATCAGCTTGTGGGTGTCAAATCTCCTGAGTTATTCACTCATTCATCCAGCTCTTTTTCTGTTTCCTGAAGCTAAGCTTAATGGAGGGTAGGAGTAGGCATTACTAATTCTACTGCCATCTGTGCCACAGCAATGGCCAGAATTGATCACTCTGCCACTAGTAACCTTTGAACTCTTCAGCCTAATGATTAGTGTAAAGTGTCTCCAATAGGATCCCATGCTTCCTAGGCTTGGGACTTCAAGGTCAAACCTGGAATATAAAGTTCTTAGCTAACTCTCCCCTTTGAGTGCTGGCTGCCTTTCTCCATTTCAAACCTTGGATATCCAGTCCAAGACTACAGTGGAAACATTTTTGGACCTGGAGTAAGGAAGACTTGGACAAAAACTTTCTCTACGTCAGAAACTAACTCACTGCTTACCCATCGGTAAGTCACTTGACTTCTTCCCTTTCCTTATCCATCAAATATGTACAATTACACTTGTGATACTCCTCTCACAGAGTTGTCTTGGGGTTCAAATGAGATCATGTATGAAAATTATGTTCAAATAAGTGCTCTTTAAACATCAGTGATTATCTTCTACTTGGAGCTTCTCTTGGTCATCATCCTTTGGTAAGTGAAGGAGAAATTTGAGAGACGGGCAACTGTACAATTCTAATGAATACCTAAATTATGCTGATGACAGGGATATTGTGTGCAGAGCACTGCATTAAGTTCTAGAGAGAGGGGATTGAAAACAAAATGTAAATGAGATATAGTCTTTGCCCTCAATGATAATAGCTCCCATTTTTATACAATTGAAACATTTGGAAAAGGCTTTATATCAGTTTTCTCATTTTAATCTCCCAACAACTCTGTGACATAAATACTATTAACATTATTTTCCTTTTACAGGTAAGTAACTTGAGGCTAAATGACTTAAGTGACTTGTCTAGACATATGCAATTAATAAGGATTGAGATGGGATTTAAAGCCCCATCTTTTTGCTTCAAAGATCTAAGCCCTCTGCACCACAACACATCCCCACACTATTACTTTGCATTATAATAGCACCTATTTACTCTTTCCTCTATGTCTTTGTGTTTCTCAGAGCACCCATTCATCCAATAACGTGCTGATCATGATAACTCTTATATCGATAGCACTTGATTCTTGGTAAATATTTCCCTTACATTCTCTATGTGTAACCACCATGCTCAAAGAAATATTAATCTCGTTTTTCAAATAAGGAGATTGTGACCCAGAAAGATGGATTGACTTTTGTGAAATCACAGAGAAAATTAGTTCAGATCCAAGCAGTATAAGAGCCCAAGTCTTCAGTCTCCTAATCAAGTGTTCTTTCCAAAATAGTACTATCTCCCAACACCTAGACATTTCTGAATAGAAAAAAAAATCACTTTGTCTGCCCTGCTGATGAAGAAGGGCTCTCTTTAGACATGGAAAAGTGAGAGGACCCAACACAGGGTTCATCAATAAGAATGATTACCATAGACCCACAGACTGTGTCTGTACATATTTGGTTAAGTAATATTGACTACAAAAATAGCTCATTATTGTCATGTATGAGACCAACTTTACTATAAATCTTCACTCTAAGTTGGTGGTTTTTATTCTATTTAGTATAGCTACTATGTTAAAGGAAAATCTTCATTGTTGTTAGTTGAAAAAATTGATTTTATTTCTACTTCTCTAATAGTCTGTGATGTAAAATATGAATTACTTATTTTGTCCTAAAGTGTGAGTCTAACGTAAACTACATTAGAAAAAAAAAAGATTCTTTTATTGTCTTTTTTTGAATAATGAAAATCTTTAAAACCAATACAGGTTGAAAGTATCATTGAATTATTTATCTAAAACTGGAAAGCATCTCAGAGATAATCTAGCCTAATATCTTTTCCTTATTAAAGAGCAAAATGAAGTCTATAGTGTCCTAGGAGTAAAAGACCATAAGGGGAATTCTGATAGATAACACAGGTAGCAGGAGCAGTGCTACTACCTAAAATAACAACAATAAAATAACTTATAACTGGCTTTAAGGTTTTTAAAGCAATTTACACTCCATCTATGATCACAGCAGTCCTATGATGTGAATACCATGAATTTTATTGTCTTTTCATATATGAATGAAGTTAGGCTCAGAGGTGAGGTGACTTGTCCATGGTCACAGTGACAATAAAGAAGAGCTAAGTATCAATTTTTTTTCCCATAAAATGAGAAATAAATGCTGTCTCTGGCTAGGTTTCTCCCCTTCCATGTCATACACACACACACACACACACACACACACACACACACGTATACATATATACATGTATATGTATATACACATACACATATATGTATATATGTGCATGCATGTATATGTATAACGATATATGAAGATATAACCATATATGTATATATATATTCATGAACACATACACATATCTACACATATATTCATATATAGACACACAATACACACACATACACATATATACACATATCTATATGTATTCATATATGTCATATAAGTGTAAATATATATGACGCATGTTTAACAAGTGGGCAACTAGCCCTTCCAACAGGACTTAAAGTGAGAGGAAATTCAGTGCATGTTAGGGCAGCCCCTTCCAATTCTGAATAGCAATGTCTCCAGAATGTTTTACTGACATTAAACCTAAATTTGTTTCTACTTAACTTCTGCACTTGGTTCTGGTTATTCCTTCTGGGTCCAAATAGAACAAGTCAAATTCTTCCTCCTCATGACAGTCCTGCAGATACATGAATGTAACTAATCCAAACCCCTGCCCTGACACCCCTTTTTTATCTTTTCTACGCCAAACGCTCTCCATTCCTTCTCCCTATCTCAATATGACACGATGTCATAGTCCTTCTCCATGCTGACTGAACTCCTCTGGAGAATTTCTAGCCTGTCAATGTCCTTCCTAAAGAGTGGAACTCACATCTGAACATGTTGCTGCACATGCAGAATACAGCATACCGCCTCTGTACACGTGGTTACTGCACCCCTCCATTCATTGTGAAGTCAAGTAAGTTTTCAGGTTTGTCATGCATGTCTCAAAGTTGTTGTGGGCATGAAATGATTCAAGGTATTTAAAGTACTTGGTAAACTTTAAAGAGGCAGCTCTGGCACAGTGGATAGAGCATTAGGACTGGAGTCAGGAAGCCCTGAGTTCCAATCTAACCTCACATACTTAGGATGTGACCCTGATCACTTAAGCAGTGTTTGCCTCAGTTACCTCAACTTTAAAATAAAAATACCCACCAGGTTGTAGTGAGAATCAAATAAGATAATATTAATAAAATACACACTTAGCACAGACCTTGATCTGAATAAACACTATGTAAATGCTTCACTAATATCAGTGCTAATTCTTATTATTTATAGTATCAACTCCCCCTAAAAACAGCCTTTCACTTTTTTTAAATTCAAATAACATTCTCCTGGTCACAGAAAAGAGAAGAAAAATATAAATTGAGCATCTCTGCCTTTCTTTGTCACTCATTGTACTTGTCCTGTCACTTTTGAACTTGTGAATTGTTCCAATTCTTTATGTTATTGTTGTTTGGTCCCCAAATAGTCAATTTTTCCAAAGTCCCCAGATCCTGGTAGTCTTTAGCTAGCTGGGCTTCCCACAGCTCACCCTGAGCCTTGGCACACCCTGACTCTATTCCAATAACTGTGTCATGTCCTTCCAAGCTGTAAAGATTTGTGGTGGAGTCTGGGGATGGACAATGCATTTGTCTGATGCTTAAAGGGTACCTTAGCTTAGTTCAAAAAAGGAGGGTTACTATTGGCTAATCGATGAGCCCATAAACAGTTACAAAGTGCCTACTATCTGTCCAGCATCATGCTAAGCACTGAGAAAACAAAGAAAGGTAAAATAGAGTTCTTACCCTCAAAGTGCTCACCATCTCTAGACAACATAGAGAGCACATAAACAAATTATATTTAGTAATAAATTGGAAATAATCAAAGGATGGAAGGATCTGGAATTGAGATGGATCAGAAAAGGCCTTCTGTGAAGGATTCTAGTTCAGCCTTGAAAGAATCTAAACCAAAGATTGACGATTTCTCTTTGACCCCAAAAACTGTAAAGTATGAAAGGATAAAGTGTCCAGTGTCCTTGTTTGTGGCCACCTCTGCATCCACGATGTAAGTGGTAGAGAATTGAAAAGTGGCAGGTGGTGTGAAGGAAACAGATTTAGAAATCATACATATTGTTATGTGACCCACCTATGGCCTTTTAGACAAAGAGTGTTAACTGGTAACTGTTCTTCCTCAGGAACTGGTGTCTTCAGGCCATTGCATAGATGTTACAGCCACAATGAGACCCAGACTAAATAGAATCCCAAGAAATCTCAACCTACTTTCTTTGATCCTTTCCTCTCTTCTCTCTGTCTTTTTACTTTCCTCTTATTTTATTCCTCCCTCTTGTCTTTATTCCTCTTTTCTCTCATTATTGGAGTGAAAGATGTTCATAAAAAAAGATCTAGTTCTCCAGCCCTAAGCAACAATAACTCCTCCTCTTATGCTGATTTTTTTTTTTTACCAGAGAAGAGGCTTTTTTTTTCCCTGAAGTGGGAAATGGCACTTTGGAAACTGTTAAGTTTGTAATAGACAGAAACTAGGTGGGAATTAATACTGGAGAGAGACTCTCCCTCTATGAGAAACTGGATCAATGAATTTTGGAAAGCTAGAGTAACTGCAAGGACAACTCTCTTTATGCTTTTGGTCCATTATTTCTGCTCCTCAAATAAGATGTGTAGCTGACCATACTTTATGTCTCGGACTCATTAATCATGCAGAGTGGATTTTTGTGGCAGTTACTCTTTTGTTGCAGGTGAATGACATCACCCTCAAATGACATCGATGGAGAACAAATCTAAAGTGGATGAGTTCATCCTCATAGGACTAACAGATGCCCCAGAGCTTCAGGTTCCTCTCTTCATAATGTTCACATTCATCTACCTCATCACTCTGGTTGGGAACCTGGGGATAGTAGCTCTGATCTCCTGGGATACCTGCCTCCACACCCCCATGTACTTTTTCCTCAGTAACCTCTCTTTGATGGATTTTGGCTACTCTTCAACTGTTACTCCCAAGGTGATGGCTGGGCTTTTCACAGGGGAGAAGGTCATCTCCCATAATGGATGTGCTACACAGTTGTTCTTCTTTGGAGCCTTCGGTGGCACTGAAAGTTTCCTCTTAGCCTCCATGGCCTATGATCGCCATGCAGCTGTGTGTAAGCCCCTACATTACACCACTACCATGACTTCAACAATATGTGCATATCTGGCCAGTGGTGCTTACATCTGTGGCTTTCTGACCTCCTCCATAGTCATAGGAAACATTTTTAGCCTTTCCTTTTGTAGAGCCAACATAGTCCATCACTTTTTCTGTGATGTTCCCCCCCTCCTAATCCTCTCTTGTTCTGATATTCATCTCATTCAGTCAGTAGTCTTTATCGTAGGGTCATTCACTGTCTTTTTCCCATTTCTTGTCATCTTTACTTCTTATTTTTTAATCTTCATCACCATCCTGAAAATCCGTCCTGCTGAAAGCCGCCAGAAAGCCTTCTCTACCTGTGCTTCCCATCTCACAGTAGTGTCCATATTTTATGGGACAATCTTCTTCATGTACTTTAAACCCAGCTCAAGCCATTCCATGGACACAGACAAGATAATCTCAGTGTTCTACACCATGGTCATCCCTATGTTGAACCCTCTTGTCTATAGTCTTAGAAACAATGAGGTCAAGAATGCTTTTAGGAAAGCTGTGAGGGGACAGAGACTTCAAGTGGATCATCTTTTTTCTTAGAGAGAAAAGTCAATCTGTACCGGCCCACTGGATCCAGCCCCCAAGTCAGGTCATTTTTCTTATGTGCAGAGAAGGGGAATCCAAACTTTTTCAAAGGTAACATTATTCCAAAGTGTCATAGATTAGGGCTTAGGAGAGACATGAATTTAAATTCTGTCCCAGATACTTTCATATTATATAACCTTTGGTAAATCATTTAAAGTCAGCCTATTTCCTCATGTTTAAAGGGCCTTAATAATATCTCCTAAATTGTAAGATTGTTATGTGGAATGAATGATAAGTGTTTATGTCTACACATACAGAATCTAAGTGCAATATAGTGATTCTAGTTGTTATCCTCCTAGAAAAAGGAAGATTAGCTCCATCATTTCTGAACAGGTTAGTAGTTGAAGAACAGATCCATTGAGTTTCTTGGAAGGTGTAGGTTTAATGTTAATGTCATTGCTTCTTCAGCATCCCCTAAATGAGAGGTGTGCTGTTAAATGCTTAAGGACTGTGTCTCTGGGGGGAAAAAAAGATGTGTACATGACATACTTTGAAATTTAATCTGCCTTATTATTTTCTCCATCACTTCCTAAAGTCTAGATCATCAACAAAACAATAAATTAAATCCTGATTCATAGAATTTACTGATTTATATGGTCTCAATATTCCCACTTTAAATTCGATGATCACTTTATGGGCCATTTAGATCTGGCTGTAGCACACTACTGCAGTATAACTGCTTTTAGAAAGGAAACCAAATCACAAGGTGCCCCGTAGGGCTTGGAAAGAACTTTAATACTGAGAAGTATTTCACTGTAATATCAGTGTAGAATCCTGATACCAACCTCAATATCAATTGCATTCTATCTAATATGTTCTTGGGTGCTTTATGTGTTTGTGTGTCTGAATGCGGGTTTTGTAAGAATTTTTTAATGTATCTTTTGATTTTTTCTGTGAGTTGAAATAAAGGCTATCTAGTATATGGTAACTTGAATTATAGGAGCTGGAGAGCTATCCTGACCATACTAGGAGAAACTTAGCAACATACTATGCTAAACCTTTTGGAGGATAAAGTGAAATTGAAAATTGATACCCCTCTTTATTTTGTGTTATTTGGAAATTATTAATTGAGAATTATATCTAATCATTAGAATAAATGTTTGTATATCAAATGTAGACTTAATTGTGCAGCCCTAATTTGTAAAAGTTGTAAGATTTTAGTTTTCCTATTCCTATGGCCTAAAGTCCAGCCACAAAGACTCAAATCTGTGAACTTTTACTGACCTTGCAGTAGAGTAGTTAACCTGGTCACAGGATGATTGCCAACCACCAGACTTTCTAGATGTTAGTCAATGCTGTGTTTTCCCTGTTGCCTAGGTTATAGATATTCCTGCTCTCTGTCAAGGCAAGCAAAGCCAATCATTAATCTTTGTGTGAACAATAACATTCCTATTTTAGTTTGAATTACTAGACTGTATCTTATATCTTATGTAACTAACTATAGAAAAGATCTTCTCCAACTTTCAGATGAATCCTTGGCTAACGAGGATTTTTATATGCCTTTTATTTATTATTGCTAGTTCTGCTAATAAATTTATTGTGCTCAAACCTTTGTGCCTTGCTTTCTCTTTATTGTGGCTTTTTGTTGTGATGGTAATGAGCTAATAAAAGAGAAAGAAATCATTTTTACCAATCATTTTATTAGGATTAAACTTGGTCCATCTGAGCCCAGAAGTTTTAGTAGTGTGTGAAGGACTTTGGCATGTATTTGGTATTCTTTCCCCTACTTTGACTCCATACCATCTCCCTTTTGGGATTTGAATTATTTTGGACTCAAATCAACTGGCCCGAGGTTACTATTAAGAAGGCATGGTTCCTCTGAAAAAAAGTCTAGTTGGTATTACTGGGATACTAGTATAATACCAATCAATAGTAGGACTCGGAAGCAAAAATGCCAATGTCATACACAACCACACTGATAAATCTTTTACTCCAAATGAGGTAGGTGATGATATTGCTATCCTTTCAGAGTTCATCAGAGTATTTTATTCAGTCCTGGGACTCACATTTTGGATACAGAATATTTACTAGATGTTATTCTATATGAGGAACAGTTAAGGAATTTAGTATATTCAACTTGGAGAATGAAAAGTTAAATGTGAGTGAGTAAAGTACTTAAAGATGTATCCTGTGGAAGAATGATTAGACATATTCTGCTTGGCCCTAGAAGGTAGAATAGGGAGTAATATCTGGAATGCCCGAGGCAAATTTTGGCTCAATGCAAGGAAAATATTTCCAAACAAATGATGCAATTCAAAATTGGCAGAAGAATTCTCTTCACTGTAGGTCTTCACGTAGGGTAAACACTTACTGGATATGATTTTCAGCATGAATTAAATTAAATGACCACTGGGAGCCCTGTGACTCTAAGCCTCTGTGTACCTTCACTTTATCCTTCTCAAGATTTCACCTTTGGGGTGGACAGAGCCAATATGGCAAAGTAAAAGGAGTGACTTGCTTGCGTTCTCCTCCAAACCCCTCCAAATACTTGTAAAAATGGCTCAAAACAAATTCTACAGCAGCAGAACCCACAAAACATCAGATTGAAGTAAATTTCCAGCTGAAGACAACCTGAATGGTTGATTGGAAAGATCTATTTTGTGTACTGGGAGAGCAGCTCAGTTCAGCGTGGGCCATGCAAAGACCAGGCTTCAGCAAATCTGGAGCAGGCCTCAGAGGACTGAATCAAGGGGTGCTGTGGTGGTTTCAAGACTTCTTAAACCACAAACACCAAAGACAACTTAGAAGGTCAATAGGAAAGGTCTGTGGCACTGTGGTGAGAGAGGAGATTGGTCTGGCCCCAGTCCTGGCACAGCCTTGGGGTAATGGCTGCTTCTGGAGCTCTCGGGCCACAGACTTAGAGGGACTTGAGTGGCTGATCAGAGGGGGATTGCAGGGATCTCTCTTTGCTGGTGCTGAGGCAGGATTCTCTTGTTTTGCCCTTGCTTGGATCTGGGACACAGTTGTGGGGGGTGGCCCTGGGGATAGGAGGAGTTCTGGTGTAGTAGAGCTTGTAGTGGTCATGCAGAATAAATCCTCCTCACAGTTCCAAGGCAGAAGAGTGCTTGTGGTCACTCATAGACTTGAGCACAGTCCAGGAAAGGAGTTATCACCTCACCCTTGATCATACCACCTTACAAATTACCATTCTCACAATGAACCTGAGAATTAGGGCATGCAAATATGCTTATTTGCATTTTGCAAATGAGGAGATCAAGGTTCATCTACGATAAGTTACTTGACTAGAGTTTCACAGCATCCTCCAATTCCATTTCATATCTTCTAAAACCAAGTTCAGGGATCTCTTTACTACCTCACTTTGTGGAGATCTTTTCACTACTCCACATCTATTTCATGTTCAATGTCACACATGATTTTCACCAAAATCTTTTGATTGTTTTCAGGTATGATATTCATATACCCATTTCAAAGACAAATAGACTGAGATTTGGAGATGTTCAGTGACTTGGCTAATGTGACATAGCCAGGAGATGGTGGAAAAAGGACTAGCATCCAGGTTTTGTTAATGTCCTTGTCCAGGTCCCTTTCTTCCTCACTTTGCTAATGATAAGCTAAGATTGACAAAGTACCCATGAGAAAATGGTTTTTCCCCACAGTCAGAGCAGAATGTAATGACTTGTTTTGTTCATGACTTGGGCAGCAAAGCTGCTAGGATCTCTAAGGGAGAACCATCTCCTAAGAGCTGCAGGGCTCCCATGTTAGCATAAAGTCCCAGATCCATACCTAACTCCAACTACTGATACTGAAAATTCTACTAGAGGGCTCAATACTGGGGAACCAGCTTGTGGGTCAAATTCTCTGAGTCATTCATTCATTCATCCAGTTCTTTTTCTGTTTCCTGAGGCTAAGCTTAATGAAGCATAGGAGGGGGCATTGCTAACTGTACTGATATCCATGCCACAGCAATGGCCAGAAGTGACCTCTCTGGTACTAGTAACATTTGAACTCTTTGCCTTAATGATTAGTGAAAAGTTTCTCCAATAGGATCACATGCTTCCTAGGCTTGGGACTTCAAGTTCAAACCTCAGTTATAAAGTTCTTTGCTAACTCTCCCCTTTGGGTGCTGGCCACCTTTCTCCATTTCAAATCAGATATGTTCTAGGATATCCAGTCCAAGACTGCAGTGGAAACATCTCTGGACCTGAAGGCAGGAAGATTTGTCAGACACTAATTCACTATTTAGCAATGGGCAAGTTACTTGACTTCTTCCCTTTCCTTGTCCATCAAATATGTACAATTACACTGGTGTTATTCCTCTCACAGAGTTGTCTTAGGGCTCAAATATGGTCACGTATGGAAATTGTGTTCAAACAGGTGCTCTTTAAACACCAGTGATTATCTTCTCCTTGGAGCTTCTCTTGGTCATCCTCCTTAAGTAACTGAAGGAGGAATTTGAGGGATGGGCAAGTGTAAAGTTCTAATGAACCCTTAAATTATGTTGATTAAGGGGATATTGTGAGCAGAGCACTGCATTAAATTCTTGAGGAGAATTGAAAACCAAATTTAGAAGAGATATAGTCCTTGCCCTCAATGATAATAGCTCCCATTTTTATAGGAGTGCAACGTTTGGAAAGAGCTTTGCATCAGTTTTCTCATTTTAATCTCCCAACAACTCTGTGATAAATACTATTAACATTATTTTCCTTTTACAGGTAAGTAACTTGAGGCTAAATGACTTACGTGACTTGTCTAGACATATGCAATCAATAAGGATTGAGATGGGATTTAAATCCCCATCTTGTTGACTCAAAGATCTGAGAGCTCTCCACTACAACACATCCCCACACCATTACTTCATATTATTATAGCACCTCTTTCCTTTTTTCTCTATGTCTTTGTGTTTCTCAGATCTCTCATTCATCCATGATCATGTATAAGTCCAATAACTTGTGCTGATCATGGTAACTCTCATTTCCATAGCACTTGATTTTTGG